AATGGGATCTCCAGCTACTTTCTACGAAGGTCGATTTACAGTTTGACCATTACCCGACCTGAACATTTTTACCGTTCACCATCCTGGCCCAGAATGAATTATTTTTTATCATCCTCAGAAACTTTTGAGTTCAGAACATCAGTAATTGGGACCTGGCATGCCTAATCACGCTTCTCTTGTTGTGTGTGTTTCGTAATGGATGCTCACTGGAGCGTCAGGGCTAGAGTCCTTTGTTCGATTTGAAATTGAAAGAGTAGGCACTTTGGCATGGAATATTGAATAACTAGTAAAAGAGGCATTCTCATTAGAGAGCAATTTATAGCTCGTTTCGACCCACTTGCCAGTGAGAAATATGGGGGAACCGACTGACTCTAATTTTATTTTCGTCGTGCGTAGAGCCTGGAAAGTGAATGTCTGTTTTCGGGCTGTAGCAGCCTGTGTGTTTGAATCCTGGTCTTACACGCCACTCGGAAGATAACCATGTTGTACGTAAGTTTGACCATCCGTTATTCGCACCTAGAACAAAGAAATGTGTAATTCACAATGAGAGTAACCAGCGGGATTACTTGAAGGATGTTGCGTTCCGTGATTAGGTGGCGGAATTCGTTGACCACATCAACTGCAAAGGTTGAAGCATACGCTAGTCACTAGCTCACTCGTACGCGCCGTCAGTCGGTTGGCTTGAGTTCCGTGTACACTCTATGAGCAAAGTTTTAGCCCAAAGAATTAACAGTCTAATTGGTTGTAAGCCAGATTTGCTCAGAGAAACTGCGTAGGGTTAAATAAAGTGACACTGATCTCACTGGGGGGATTGCAGCGATGCTTCGGTGGGTTATCGAGTCCAGTTTCACATCCGGCAGTCGGTGAACTGATAGTTTTGAGCACACAAAAGGGTGTAATACATCGGTTGTCACTAAACTGTACAGCCCCCAAGGAAGTGCTTTACCATGACGATCTCCGAATTTCCATAATGGAACAATCGGGTTTCAGATAAGACGTAAAACACTTCTGCCGAATGGTACTGCTTTATTGCTAATCATCCTTTTCAACCATTTTAAAAAAGTACGCCCGCTGAAGGAAGGAGATAGCAAGCACTTTGGCCGTCCAGAAACAATTATCCACGGGGTTTATTATTTTGGTGGTATTTATACTTTGTTGTTTCAAATCCTCAGTCAAATTTTCGCCCGAATTTAGCATATGTTGACCGAAAAAATTAAGTGTACGCATGATTAAAGCACTATTGACGCAGACTATGAGGTGCACATGATTTCAAAACAGAATTGTAGGGAAATTGCTGTGGGAAAGAACATCCTCCGG